GTTAAAAGAAAGCATTGACATCAAAACTCTTTTTTGCAATGCATATGGTGATGATGGCCACAAATCCATGCATATCATTTGGCCTGATGCACAAACCTGATTTGGCCAAAGCTCATTCTTGTCTATTTTGGCCTTGATTTTACATACAAAATACCAGTGACAGCCAAGTGAAAACAGAGCAGGAAAGGCCAGCTCTCTCTCAGTGACATTTGGTCATTGGACCAACTTCTTACACAATGCAAGATTTTTGCAGAGTGGCTGCCAACCCCATTTTGTCAGACCTTTCCCTCCTCTGATCAATGACTTTAGCTGACGTAAGTAGTGCATGTTTCACTTAACCTGCGTGACCCAGAGGAGAAAGGGCAGGAGATTTTTTTTTTTTATCTAGGATGGGACTTCAGCTCCTGCAGAGAGGAAGCATTCACCCAGCTGTGAAGAAAACAATCCAGGGAGACGAGAATTTTAATATTGGGCTGTGTGAAAGTTAGCTGCAAGATAGGACCTATTCACAGTAGAAATCATTTCTGGCCAAATCCTTAGCCAGTTTAAACTGACTGTGCATTTTTTGCTGCTATTTTTACACCAACAGAAGGACATAAAACTTTTAGAAGGTTCGGGTGTAAGACGTTGGAGAAACTGAATTCAACCTTCACCACCTCCTGATGTCTCCTTAAAATAGCAACATTACATAGGCTTTGTTTAGAGCTGCATTCCTTCTTAGTTCATTATATACATATTCACGTATACAACCGAAAAGAAAAACAAAACAAAACTTAGTTGTCCAAATTACCTTTACCTTGACAGGGCCACCAGCCTGGAACAGATCTACCAAGGAGGATGGAGTCCTACTTTGTATGGTGAGAAGAGGTCATCCTTCGCGGTCCAAGCAAGGAGCTTACACACTGACATACAGCATCCCAAACAAAAGAAGATACCCAGACACACAGAATAAATCATTTTCCCTTCAAAAGTCCATAGAGAGGGGAAGGATCCTCTTTTAACCAGGGCTGAGAGAATGCACAGCATCTGGGAATGAAGGGGAGTGACAAAATCATTTTACTGGTTACCTGGTGCTGATCTGTTCACAAATGAACTAGAGCACTAGAGCCGCAGCATGAGACCTGTTCTCTACCACCCCACACATAGAGGCAGCCACCACCACCAAAGGCAGAGGGTGAAAGGTTGTATGTGGCTAGGGGACATGGTCAGGAGGACAGGGGATAGCAGGATATTCAGATCCCTTTGTTCCAAGTTCTCAGAGAAAGGCAGCATGTATAATCTAAGATGAGGAAGGAAGTTTTTGTATAAGCAACAGCGAAGCACGTTGGACTCTCAAGGGTGGAAAATGATGAAGGAGCAATACAGCAGTGGTCTATGAACTCCTGAGTGGCCAGGAGAGGGTGAGGAGGGACTGGTTGCTCATGATTTTTTCTAGCACAGGAACTAGAAAGTTATCACAAGAAGTTGGCAGGTTGCAAGTCCAGCACAAATAAAAGCAGGTAGCTCTTCATGTGCCTGTAGTTAAGCTGTGGAACACCTTGCCACAGGATCTTGTGGATTCTCAGAGGAAGGCCCTGAGCTGTAGATCTCTTCTTCAATCTGGGGGAGCAGGTGGCAGAAGCACCTCCATATCTTCTTGCTATAGCATGCACTGCCATGGACTGTCAGAGAGAAAACACTAAACTGAATGGGTCCATAACCTTTATGAGCCTATAAAAATGCTCTTGCATTCTTCCTTCTCTGCTCACAGTGACCTTGTATCGAAGACTTACAATCCAGACCACAGCAACCCAGTTTCTCTTTCACCCTTCTCTTCTGGTCTGACCTTGCATACATCACAGTCTTCCAAGGATGCAAGGGGCTCAGAAATTGCAGGGTCTGATTCTCGGCACACCATGACTCAGACAGGGACCCCTTTTATGTGGGCAAAGAACTGATAAGCTGTTTCAGGGCAGAGCTGTACTGGGGTCATGAGCATGGCGGAGATGCTCACATTTCCAGCACTGGTACCTGACTGGGAGTCTCTGGACATGATTCACTAGGACTTTAGAGGATATGTGTCATCAACCACCCCTACAGTCCTACTGTTCAACTCTACCTTCCTGCACACCTACTCTGCCCAGAGGAGAGTGAAGAAGGTTATGAGATGAGCAGAGCAGCATCCAAGAAGACCTTTCCTGTGGGTGTGAGCTCACCCACAACAGCAGGAAAAGTCGACATGAGTGCTAGAGAGCTGTGAATTGAACCTTAGATTTATTCTTCTGGCTGCTTCTGAAAGAGGGATGAGGACTGGGGAGCTGTGGAGAAGTATCTCTTCCCTCCTCCCACACGTCTTGCACGGGGTGGTTTGAGAGGAGAGATATGGCTACCATGTGGGGAAAGCCACCTTTAGATTCCGCTGCAATATGTTGAATGCTCATCCCTCCAAAGAAGAGCTATAGCTTTTGCACTTTCCATCCTCCTAGAATAACCAAGAAGAGAACGGGTGAGGAGAAATGAAGCAGGCTCCAACTACTGTATCTTGCAAGAGGCCAGCTTTGGCTCTAGGGCCTCCGGAGGTGTGGGTTCATTTTGCTTGTGGATAATGGGGATGGAAGAAAACATCCCCTATAGTCATGGTGACTATGAGAGCAAGACAAAGCCAGAGTCAGATTTCCCTGCTGTATTTCTCGGGCAGGCTTTAAACTGGAGCTGGAGGGAGGGAACAATTTCCTTCTTGTGCAGCTTCAGCAGTTCAGTGGTATCTGCCTTTAATCATTAAATGATCTGGGGGAGAAACAGCAGCCTGGAAGCATCCCTGGTCCTGTCCCACACCCTGCACATGGGGATGAGATATGGACGGGGGACCACAGGCTAAACGTGGCCATCCCCCAAACTGGATAAGATCCTGGTTTATTTACACCACCTCCTCTTTCTGGTGGTGATAGAGGGATGGGAGGGGTAGGGTAATTTAATATATGAGGCTCGCCTCTGCTTCTCTCCTCTCTCCCAGAAAGAACAGAAACCGTGACAGGGCCCCTGAAACTTTGTGGCAGATTTTTTTTTTCCCCAGAAAGACTATAGAGCGCGGAGTACATATTTACTCAGCCCGCCCCATACTTAAACACGCACAGATGCTCGGCTTCCCCAAGGGACACAGGCTCTCCCACCCCCCCAACACCCCCCCCCACACACACCCCTCGCAGAGTGCAGTGGGCAGAAGTGAGCCAGGCCCGAAAAAAAAAAACGAAACCCAAACAGAGGTGGAAATACCTGCATGGGGATTCCCCAAGGAAACGCTCTTAAAATGAAACAATCTGCCCTCCTCCTTGACCCCCTCTGCCCAATAAATAGCTTTTTAATCCACAGCACAAGAGCTTGAAAAACATCCTTAGAAGTGTTCTGCAGCTGGGGGGGAGGGAACGGGGGAGCTTTAGTGGGTTTTTTTTGCCACTGCTGTTAAATTCCTCCTCCCTCCCA